TATCACTTTTTTAATAAAATTAAAATTAAGATAACCACGCCCATACATAACATAAGTAAATGAAAAAGAGATTCTTTGCCTATTTTAAATGGATTTGTATTTTTTTTGGTTTCCGCTCGGTACGTGGGGTTTTGTCCCGACTACTCCGGACTCGACCAGCTGTGGCGCACCAAAATGATGGGTGGGTCTCCCAACGAAAGCTGCTGCGTACACAAGATTTCGAATTCGAGACCTTATTTAAATTGAAACAAGCCGCTTGCCACTTGATCCAACCTCTCGTTGGTTAAAATGGATTTGTATTATTGTATATTTACAATATATATTAAAAGAATAATAAATATATATTTTTATAATTAATTTATAAAAATTGATATATATTTTATTATTATTAATATATAAATAATTTTAATTAATTAATTAAATTAACATTAATATTTATATTTTTAATAAAAATTAATTAAAAAAATATTTATTTCACGCACATAATAAAAAAAATTCTAAAAAAAAAAAGTAAATGAAAAAGAGCAGGGAGGTTAACTTAATTGGTTGACGTGTCTGCAAAGGGTGGGATCCACCGCAATCCAAGGTGACTCGGTTTTGCGGCTATAAAACTAGCGGGACCCATGTGCAAAAAACATACAATGTACACTGTGTGGAATTAAAGAATATGCTTTTGGTATTGGCAAAATACCCAAATCCACCCTCAAAGTATAGTGGCAGGGACGGATTCACCCTCAAACAAAAAATGGGGACAAATCCACCCACAAAGTTTTCGACTTGGACAAATCACCCCAAATTTAACGTGTGACGTCATTTGACATCAGTAATTTGTTAATTCGTTAACGGATTGCTGACGTCAGATGACGTCAAATTAACAGATTGCTGATGTCAAATGACGTCATATGTTAAATTTGTAGTGATTTGTCCAAATCGAAAACTTTGTGGGTGGATTTATCCCCGTTTTTTGTTCGAGGGTGGATCCGTCCCTGCCACTCTACTTTGGGGGTGGATTTGTATATTCTGCCTTTGATATTTGTCCATTTTATACCATCATCGATAACCTTACCATATAGGGGTTAGATTTTATCGATCACCTGTTAGTTTAAGTAGTGAGAATTTTATTATTATTATTATTATTATTATTATT